AAAAAATTTCTAAAGGCGCTGTTGGATCGGAAACACTAATTTTGATGCGCGGGCCAATGAAAACAAAACATAAAATTTTTTTTTTCTGTTTAAACGGCCAATAATAACGAAGTTGTTAATTGAGCTCCAGTTTTTGATGAAAATTTTGATTTTCTTTCGCTGTGCTTAATTTCAACGGATCTACTTATAAAAATTACCCCCTTTCAAGAAGGGGTAATCGTTAAGTAGGTTCAGTTAGTCGAATTTTCAACCAATCAATAATGTAGCAACAATTCGAAATATAAATTGAACGCTCTAGTGCTAATTTACTGCTTTTTATAGGGGTGGCAGTTCTTTTCTAGATACCATACGGGTAGGGGGATTTGTTACGTAGATCCATTTCAACTAATAAGGTTTGAGCATTTTTAGAATATTCAAAGTAACTAAAATATCGATTTTGGGATGTGTAACTGAAAAGGCCACAAAACTTAATCAAAACCTTGTTTTTCAAACTTTTTCACAAAGCACAGTAAATATCTTCGGATCTACTCAACAATCTCCACCCCTTTCAAGAAAGGGGGGGGGGATTGTTAAGTAGATCAAAGTGGTCGATTTTTCGACCAATCAGAATGCAGCAAAATTAGAATTATCAATAGAAAGCTCAGTGCTATTTTAGTGTATTTATTTAAAGGGGTGAGGTGGGGATTCTTAGGATCAAAGCGATCCGGCAAAAAACGAATCCCCCCCTAATAGACCAAGTTAAGATCCTCCACCCCAGCGCTTAAATTAAATTAAATTTGCTAAGCGATTCTGATTGGCTGAAAATTCCCAACTTAGAACCAAGTTAACATTCTCCCCCCTAAACGTGTTTAGGGGGGAGGATGTTAACTTGGTCCGATTCTTGAGTAGGTACCATAGGGGGGGGGGGGGGGGGGGCGATTGTTAAGTAGATCCATACCTTCGATTTTTTCTCAGTTTTTTTGAAGCCTGGAGTCTCATGGAGTATAATCCCAGCACCAGTACTATCGGATCTCTTTAACTATTTCTCGTTTCACAAAGAAGATTATTCGTTACTCGGTACAAATTTCACATATAATCAACCGTTGAATTAGTTCAAAATAAGGGTAGCAATTTTAATCGGTTACAGTGAATATGATTACCGGAAAAAAAATTATAATGAATTGTTATCAATTAAGTTTTCCGCATAATCAATTCCACTTTTCAATTCCACGTTTTGTGAGCTAAAATGCTAGGTTAAATTTAATTGTGATATAATTACCGATGAGACACAGTTACCATTTGAGACAAGATCATATAGTGGATTCGAATGTAAGTTATTGGATTCTAATGTGGAGTGCTTTGCTGCAAAGATTAGAGATTCAAACTATTGCTAGTAGTTTTTCCCCTTAAAAAAGTTATAAAGCGAATTTCGCACCAGCACTGCCAATTTGTAAGTTTTGAATTGATTCGAGATGTTGATAACTCATTAAGAAATTTCTGATTAGGTTCACTGTCCGTTCGTCACGCTATCCTATTTTTGGCCGGATCGTTTTTTGCAACTTCTTAGTCGAATACCGGTCCTAATCTTACTCTTATTTCCTAAATCTATATAGATTTTAATCAAATACTAGTAATAGTGGGTTTAGTTGGAGAAAAACTTTATTCTGTTCGATGTAAAAGGTCAGGATTTACAAATAAGTTTAAAAACGTTAGAGATGGAATAGTTGTTCAAATCATGAGTTGCCAGTATTTTCGTGCAAATTTGAGTTTGTGATTTGCGATTTTCAAAAAAGCGAGAATGTTATCAGCATTTTTTCTAAAATCTACTTCAAATTGAGAATGTTATCACAATTTTTTCTAATAACAACTTTAAATATTCTAAAGTGTAATTGTGATATTCAGGGCATCGCCTTGATGTAAGCAGTTTTGTTGCTCGGAATTTCCGTTTACTTTGTTCCGCTCGACATGCTCCAGAAAAATTCCGACTTTCTAATTAGCTACTTTTGACGAATTTTTTATATAGTTCGAAACTCGTACTCATGGAATTTTATGTGCAAGATCTGAAATTCTTTATTCCTTACTTTAGTTGATTCTCAGATCTGAAATCCGAAATTTGGATCTGAAATAAAAAATTTCAAATCTGAAATATACTTGAAAAACAAAAATTCAGATCTGAAATTAGATCTGAGAAACCCTTTGTTTAATTATAATTTATGCATTTCGAGCAAATAATTGAATTTTTTTAAAGTTTCTGCAATACGCAATTGTGTTTAGATTAACTAGCGGTAGAAAAAATTTTCAAATAACTTCACAACAGTTTTGTTTCAAAATAAATTTCTTGTTCAACTATGATAAAAAGTTTTCAAAAAATGTTGGAAGACCTATCAATTTTATGACTTTCATGCGCTACTTATGCGTTGTCAATGTTTATTTCATGCTTGGGGAAACATATTTTGGCAGTCTCACATTGGAGACTTTGCTGAGTACCTGCTAGTAGCTAGCAGAAGCTATCAAATACAAAAGTATCAAAAAGAGCAGAAATTGTGTCAAAGCATTGATTTTTTGCAGATCTGAAATAGCGAAGAAAAACTAAATTTCAGATCTGATATTAGATGTGAAATAATTTTTTTTCACATCTGAAATAACCAAAAAAAAACAGAATTTCAGATCTACAAAATCACCAATGCCTAAAGTATCCAAGCGTTATTTTAACATTTCACAGCCCAAAGATTATTTCGGATCTGATTAAAAACATTTACTAGGTACGGGAAGTTATTGTTGGTGGAAGCTCAAAATTACATAGTAATTCCCTGTGATCTTTTCTTCGCAAAGTTATAGGGGTTTGAGATTTCCCATTTTTAAATAATTAGTGCGTGCTAGTTTGCAGTTTTCTGTTAACGCGTAGCCAAATGGCGTTTGGTCTAAATGGCGCGTTACAGGACGACCCGAGTCGAGGTCGTGGTTTTATGTTCAGACTTAATAAGACTGAATCGATCTGCGTGAGGACCGAAAATTTTTAGTCGCCACGTAGGTCAAAGTCTGCAAAGTCTGAAAATGAGTCTGCAAAGTCTTAACAGAAGTTTGCAAAGTCTGAACATAAATCTGCAAAATCTGAACATAAGTCTGCAAAGTCTGAACATAAAGTCTGCAAAGTCTTATTCGATCCGCGGGGGGACCGAAAGTTCATAGTCACCACCACGCAGGTCAACGCCTGCAAAGTCTAAACATAAGTCTTCAAAGTCTGAACCTTAGGTCTGCATATCCGGGTTGACAAAAAAGGCTTATCATACAATTCCATACTATGGAAAAAATGCTTACCATACGATTCCATACAAATCCATAGAATAACAAAATCGTCTGAAAATCGCATGAAAACCATTTTGCCATAACTGAAAAATTTTTGAACAAAAAAACGTATGATAATCATAGTATGATAATCATCGTATGATAATCATATGAAAATCATAGAATAAAAATCGTATAATAATCATTTTTTGTCCAAAAATATAATCAAGAATTTTAATGATCAAAACGATTTCAATTATTAAAAAAATCCCATTTAGGCTCATTTGAACTTTCTAAATGCTTTTTTGAACAAAAAAATTTGATTATGGAAAAAATGCTTGTCATACCATTTTCATAGAAAAGAAATCGTTTGATAAACATTTTTTGTCAAAAAAAATGGGCCAATTTGGTCTAACTTAATCAGAAATGGAATCAAGCTCATTTAATTTTACCAAAAAATTCTTTGTAAAGGTTTTCCTGAAAAAAAAAATCAGTGAAGAAAATGCTTAATATACAATTTTCATAAATGGAAATCCTATGACAACCATTTTTCCATAGAGCACATGCATGGAATTTTATGATAACCATTTTTTTGTATGGAATTGTATGACAAGCATTTTTTGTATGGAGGTCAACCCGGGTAGTTCTGTTGGTCCACACGGTCTGAAACTGGATTCCATCGGTCCACACGGTCTGAAACCAGATTTATTTGGTCCACGCGGTTTGAAATCGGATTGCTTCGGTCCACACGGTCTGAAACCGGATTCCTTCGGTCCACACGGTCTGAAACCCGATTCCTTTGGTCCACACAGTCTGAAACCGGATTCCTTCGGTCCACACGGTCTGAAACCCGATTCCTTTGGTCCACACAGTCTGAAACCGGATTCCTTCGGTCCACACGGTCTGAAACCGGATTCTTTCGGTCCACACGGTCTGGATCCGGATTTCTTGGGTCCACATGGTCTGAAAGCGGATTCGCTCAGTCCACACGGTCTGAACATACCATATTCTGGTCCCAACGGTCTGAACATGTAAATTCTGATCACACGGTCTGAACATAAAACCACGACCTCGACTCGGGGGAAAACATATAACTTTGTACTTGATTTTGCGTGCGTTTGGGGGAAACATGCAAAAAATTGAAAATTTCATTTTTTCCCTCATCATTTTGTAATCAAAAGCTACTTCAGCTCTCTTGGGATGAGCTATTCTTAAAAATGCAGTGATACGTGATACGCACATCTCATGAGCGAGATGTTTGCAAGGCCAAACGATCGATGATTGCATTCATGTAATACCAGTCTGTTGTTTATCAAATAAAACACGAAATATCAAAACACTTCTGATCACACAAACATACCAACACTTGATCATGCCACTAATCTAAATATGAGACAATATAGCGGTTCACGTATACAACTATACAAGCATGTAACAATACAAGAGGAGCTACCATCGCATTTCATCGGACTCATAATCACAACTAGCTCGCCTATACTCACAACTCACATTATTACTTACCATATAACCATATACGCATTTGCTCACTTATTTGTTACCCATATAATGCGCTAGGTGTTTGTTGATGTTTGCAATGTGTAATAATCTAAATGTAAAGCAAAGATTTCACAGTCAATTTTACACATCCTGTTATGTCAGTTTGATTGGCGATGATCTGATTTTTAAACTATCCGTTTGGGAGGTCAACATTTTTTCAGCTTGCTCCATTCTCTTAATTGAAGTGAGTTCATTATTTTTATCATTAATGTAAATGCAATTGTTCATTATTTTTCTCTGCTGTGCGTTAGAAACTGAGCACATTAGCAAACGTAAATTTAATTACAATCTTAATTTTGAACTCTAATTAAAGGATATCTGATATCAACGGACTGAATTCAGGAATCGAATAAAAATAAGAATTCACTTTTTCTCTGTCTTTTAAAAAACTGTTTTTCTTAGGTCCGGACATTGATTCGAAGTCCCGAGACGAATTAATCCAGAATGGAAAACAACGCCTTGGATCTTTCGAAGCCTGCTGCGCCTGATGATTCCCAAGGATCGAAAGGCATAGGCCAAACTCACAGCCAGAAAAGAAAAGTAGAGCCATCGTATGTTTCCCAGTCTACTCACCCGGCTAACATTCGTAATCAACAAGGAGGCGAAAACCCTAATTTAAAAAGACCTAGACTTGAAGGCAACTCATCAAGTTTCAAAACTTTCGATGAAAGCGAATTTATTTTTGAGAGTCTTGAGCGAATCACTGACGAACTTGCGATGATCAAACAGTATCTACGTGACCTGCCACAGAAACTTGCCATAAACATGTCATCAATAGTCAAATCAGAGATTGATTCTCAATTCCAGCAGCTATCGTCAAAATTGCTTCTGGAAATCAGGAGGAACAACCCGAATGTTTCACCGCAGCATTTAAGTGAAAAAGGTTCGACGGATCGACACGGTCAAAAACTGGAGTTCGAAGTGCCGAATGGCCCTGGAAATATGGATCCTTCCAGTGCAGTCTGTTCACAAGTTCCTAAACTATCGCCTATGCACTTGAGTCCTTCGAAAACACCTCAACAAGCGCTTGAAACCATGGTCAATCTGCGAGCTTTGAACCGAAGATTTGAGTCTATTGGAAATTTTCCCAAGTTGAACATTGGATTCCCTTTTCAAGTTAACTCTCCGAATATATTTAACCCTTCTAACATGATTCAAAATAGTAACAAGGCGCCAGTGCCATCAACAAGCTCGGCGAGTTTCACCGATGAAAGAAACAAATCGATTGTTTCCAACACTAGTCAAGTAACGTCCCAACCCCAGACTTTCACTTCGCAGCTCGTGTCGCTAGCCCAAAATCAGGGTTCCTCGGTTCAGCAAAACCGAGGAGCAGCCCCGGTACCGACAACGCCAAAGCCTTCGGAGGGACCTTCTAGCTCAGGATTGTCATCCGCGTCGTCGTCATCTCCGCCAGATTACCATTCCCTTTCGGGTGAAATGTCTGGACCGAAGTATATCCAGGCACCAGTCCAGATCAGAATCGAGGACTTGCATGCTGATTGCAACGTGCATAAAGTGAAAATTCTTGACATTATCCCGCCCCTGGACGTTTTCGAACTGGACGACCAGTTTATGTACAAAATTTTCCTAAAGTACAAATATCCGTCTATTTTTGTCCAAGCTCTGTTCGTGCTGCATTACGGAAGTTTCAAGGCCATGCATCTAAACACGAGTTCACGCGTGAAAAATAACCTTGAACTTATTCCTGAATCGTTCGTGAACAGCTTGACAGTTCTGGTTCTGAACTGGTTTCCCGCAGTCGATGACCTGGACTTTGGAAAATGCTTGAACCAAAAACAAAGATCTATCCTTTCTGCGGCAAGGAGCTGTTTGTTCTTCAAGAAATGCGATGCTTGCAAGCAGCGAAATATAGACAGTTTGCCTTCGACTTACAGCGTGAAAAACTTGGTTCCTTTAATGGCTGCACAGCAACATAAACAAGTCAAGCGAGAGGCGATGAATGCTTCAGGCGTGAACCATTTTAGGATGAGTCATCATAATACGGATAACAGTAGCTCAGACCATAGTGGCTTTGGAAGCGTCTTTGGATCTTTTCCGACTATGGTGAAAAGTGAAACGGGTCCTATATTTCCTTCCCCTCCTTTGTCGGATAGTTTGAGTCCAATCATGGATCTGTCGGACTCATTGACAAGTGTGTTTGACAGGGTGTCGGAGTTGGTGAATGGGACGGAGGTTCCGAGACCTGTTGGACTGAAGATGACAAATGATTGCACACCTCAAAAACCCTAATACTAAATATAGTTTATACCGAAATCATCAATAAACATTTGATGATATTTCAGTTTCCTTCTACTGCCTAAATCTAATCCACAATCATTATCTTTTTATTATCATTTCTGTCAAACTTAACCTCATCATCATTAATTCAATTTATTTATTCAACAAGTTTCTTTTTCTGACTAAGTTTTCATCAATAGTAGAAATGAGTTTTTCAGTATTCAGTTGAACCAAAAAGGCAGCCTTAACTTCTGCTGAAGCTTAAGCTGCTGAAAAAACCCTAACTGATGTTTTTGACCTCAAAATCACATCGCAATTGAACTTACTGTTTCATGTAAAAGTAAACAATTATTAAGTGACAGTCAACAAAACTGTTTGGAAACAGTTAGAAGCATCTGAAGTTTCCCATAACTTCTACTTTAAACTCAATTTTTCAACTTCTGCTCAGCTTTCAAAAGCAGTAAATTTATCTAAGTTGTAAGAAAATCTACGAAAATTTGAACACAGTTACAGAAAAAAACTTTTAAAAATGTCGAACTTTAAAAAATTGTTCTTAATGGGTTGCTTCGTAATACTTTCAATGCCTTGTTTTGCATCCAAAAAACCCAACGAAGGCCATCCAAGTTGCCCCAAATGCGAGAATGTGAGGTGCCCGAAACCAAGTGAGTAGACATTAAACGAGAGTTTAGTTAATGGAGAAAAGTTTTGCTCCAACTTTGCATTTGGGTGCCAGTTCAAACAAAACTACCAGCTCTTTTTGAAATTGTGGATAAAAGTTCAATCTTAAGTCAAACAAAAAGATCTAATTACTGTGCACGGAAAATTCCATCAGCAGTTATCCTTGCAAAATGAAAAACAGAAAGAAACAGAACGGAATTTTTTAAGTTTTCCGATATAACTTTTTGGATTTTTTTCTATACTTTTTTGAACTTAAGTTAAAGTTTTGAAAAAATCTAATATAAAAAAATTGAGATTTACAAAAATTATTTATTCCGTTTTTTTATTTTTAACTTTAAAAGGATGGCTGCGTTTTGAAGTTTCTAGCTTCAAATTGACTATCTCTTATGAGTTTTATAGCATTGGAAATAAATTTAAGGGTTCTCTTACAACCAAACAGGCAGGATTCGTGAAGCGATAGAGATCCCAATACTTAATCAATTCATAATCTAGTTCGATAGACGAGGGCAAAATGGGAATCGATAATATAAGCAACATTTAAAACCAAAAAAAAACCATTTTAATTAACTTATTTTCCATTTTAATTAGAAGCGAATTCGGTTTGTATCAATTGAAATTGATCTGAAAATCAAAACATTTAGGCCAGCTTTTGAAACAGTTCAAATCAGGACGACAAATTGAATAATGAAATATTACCCGAAAGGTGTATGTCACTGGAACATCTTATTTGACTTGGGCATAAAACAAACCCAATTCCTGGGTTCCTTCCCACTTCTTGTCGGACCAAAAACCCGTATAGTCGTGAACGCTTCATTTTTTATTTTGTTTTATAAAATTCAATATATTCAAACAAAGCCAATTCTAAGTCCAGGGGTGGATAAAGGGGGAGGGGGCGTCCACCTCCCCCACCCCCTCAGATTCGACCCCTGCCGACCCAAATGTTCCCCCTTTGTACTATTTTGAGATATCCACTTTTTGTGACAGACCCTAAAAATTTTCTAAAGGAGCCTATGGCGCCAATATATACTAATTTTGAGGGGGGAGCCCGAGCCAAAAAATTACGCAACTTTTTGGTCAAAATATTTTAAAAAATGCCTATAAACGCCTTGTTTTTTTCAGAAATTTGCCTGCGGCACAGAAAATTCAGCCCAAACAGGGTCTTTGTAGTGCTTTGGAGAGCTCGGAAAATCAATTTGGTCGACCTAAAAAAAAGGTCGACAAAATTTTTGAAAAACCACCCAAACAGGGTCTTTGTAGTGCTACGGGAGAACTCGGAAAATCAATTTAGTCGACCTAAAAATCTGCTCAAATAGGGTCTATGTAGTGCTTTGGGAGAGCTCGGAAAAAAAAATTTGGTCGACCAAAAAAAAGTCAACAAATTTTTCGAAAATCCGCGCCTTCTCGAGAAAATCTTAGATCCTCTAAGTCAAATCTTCGCTCAAATTTTTTGTAAGTCGTGACAGTTACTGTCTAATTCTAAAATGAAAAAATCAGCTTTCGTATTCTCAAAATGAGGTAAGAAATCAAAATCTGAATTTTTTTGGCCAACTTAAACCAATTTGCAGAATTTTTTGACTAGGAAGAAATTATATTCCATGAGGAGACTAATTGCACACTAAGAAACATCAAGGAGTACAATTGCACAGTATATCGAGTTATGTATGATGGAAACCTCATTTTACTTGTATGTCGGAATGAAAAAACTTTCGTGGGATGCACTTTCACGGAATAGATTCTTTTTTTTCTTATTAACCATTTTAAAGAATGTATTGGTCGCCTTTCGCAACGAAATTAACGGAATATTTGTGCTCGGGATGGTTTTTTTCTTCAGACAATATTCGACTTTTCACAAGCCATTCTGGACGGTTTTTTTAACTATCATTCTACAGGCATTGTTTGCTGTCCTGCGCTTAAATTTTAAAAAAATATATTTTGCTTCTGAGATCATTTTTTGTTAAATTATGGGGGCTTAAAGATTGCCATTTTGGCCAATTTGGGACAATTAACGCGAGATATATTTCGCGCTGCTAACGTGTAAGCGGCGCCTCAATCCGTCTTAGAAATAGTTTCAAATTGGTTGAAGGAAGCTTCTTTGCAATAATTGATTTGTTACTAAGAGCGAAATCTATCACTTTGTACTTTATATGGCGTGTGATGGGATGTTTTTCACAAAAAATCTCAAATTAAAATAAATGTTCGTTTTATAATTACTTTAAATTTTTTGATGTTGTTACTGCTGCAAAGACCTTTAAAGCTAGTCGACTATTTCAGGGTTTCGCCCTAAAATAAGCAGTTTTCCATGTATAAATTTGATGCTTCATTTTCACTATATTTTCACACACTGAATGACAAGCAAATTTTTTAAACAAAATTTTGCGATGACTACACTTATTCCGTTTAATTTTTTCTGGAAACATGTTACAGCGTTTTACAGGAACTATACGCATAACAATTTTTCGCGTTTCATTTTTAGACAATTTTAATTTTTGAATCATTTCAAGCTTTTTTAAGTTTGAAGTTTTTGTTATCTGAAAGTAACTGACGGCTAAAACTGAAACGCATTTAAAAAGATATTTGACTTGCGGCTTTTTTGTACTGCTTCGTAAGTGACAACTCGGCCAGTCGGTAAGAGTTAACACCATATATTACGCGCTGTTAACGCAGTGCAAGGCCAAACCGTGCACAATTTGGTGGCTGTAGGTCACTGGAATCCAAAGACAAGTATTAAAATTTGCCTCAAAAAGTAAATGGATTTCATTTACAAAACGTGTAACGCAATTTTTGTCAGCACATTAGTTTTATCGCTGATTCTGCAACAAAGGAATGTAAAAAGCCCTTCCGGATTCCGCAAATAAACCCGGATTCTGCAAAAAGCTAACGAATTCCGCAAACGTAAACGGCTTCCGCAAAAAGCAAGCCGATTTCGCAAATTTAAGTAGATCGTAGATTTAATTAACGTACTCAACTAAACCAGTTGTTGCGTGAAAAAATTAAAGCTATAAAAGAATTAACATTTAGCATACGCGGAATTCAAAAGCAAGAATTTAGCTATTGTACGTGGAAATTTCAAGACCTAAAAGTATTTGCTACTGGAGTTCGCAAACAAAATGAGGATTCTGCTTACATTTTGAGGGCTCCGCTCACAGTTTGCGGATTCCACTTACAATGTGCGAACTCATTTAACAGTTACAGAGTCCGCGACGACGTAATTTTACTACACATATATAAAATTAGTTTTTTTTTGTGGATTCTCTAAACTGTTCAGGATTCCGCTAGTTTTGTTGCGAATTCTTGCGGATTTGTGAGCTGAAACAACTTTAGTTTTTCTAACTTTTGCACAATCAATTTATTGGGTCCAAAAAACGTTCACTGCCAAAGAAACGTTAAAAAACTTCCAAAGCTAGTTTTCTTTTTATTATAATTCAGCGTTTTTGCTTAAAAGCCTTAAAAATTAAATTTCCCTTTAACAAATGTTACTCGCTCGCTTTTCTCGCTCGAAATTGAACTAAATTTTGAAAACTTTACAACAAATTTTCAAATTTTAAAATGTCATTTAAGCACGACTTAAAGAGTTTTATTTGATATTTCACTCAACCTGCTCCGATAATAAATTGTGCTACCTGCTTTTGCATTAAAAAAGGAAAACTTAAAATTTTTCTAAAAACAATATTTCTCTAATTTTTCAATAGTCGGAACCTTATTTTAAGTAAAACAAGATTACTCGCTTCCTTTTAATTCCAAGCAAAATTGAGTGTGAGTTAACTCGTCGCGTAAGCGCCAAACACAAAATTTATATGAGAAAAAAAAGAGCCTGAAATTCAGAAATGAAACCCCGCACTTTTGATGGTTCAAGGAGTAGATTGAAAAAGGAAGCAAAAATCTAAGACCAAAAGAGAAAACATTCATTAAAAAAATTTTCACATGTACCCTTTAAGAAACTCCTGGAGCACTTAAGCTCTATTGAGATCTGCGTCATTTGCGTTACAAAAAATGCCAGCGTTCTTGCTGAGAACAAATTTTATTGATTTATCTCATCATAAATTTCATTAAAACTGAGGAATCCTTTGCAAAAAGGGTATAATTGGACGTTTTTTGAAGCCTAAGAATCAGTTGGAAACAGCTAAGACATGAAGTTTTTTTGAAAATGCTTGCTTGTTTCTGAGTGAAAAATAGGAAATTAATAGAAACATGCAAAAATGCTAGACAGGCTTCTATCAAAACAATACGCAAAAATTCTCAATTTGTTTTGAGCGCAATAAACTGAAAAATAAAAATTAAAAAAAGTCAAAAATCAAAAAAAGTCCTAGTACAAAATTTTGTTGAATTTTCAAGAAAAAATTATTACCTCAAATGTAGAAATTCAAATGCCTGCACTGGAAACTTTTTATAAAACATCATTTTCAATGATTCACTGATTTTGATAGGCAAATGGTAGCCGTGAAAACGACTAAAGCACGAAATGGTAAAACTTGCTAATCGCAGTTGTAAAAATCTATAAACTAAGACTACTTGTATCAGAGCAAAACGTTGAACGTTCCGACTGCCCTTTAATCGGTCTCGATTATTTTTTGTAAAGCAAAAATTGACAAAACTATGATTTTCGGGCTGATAAGATGGCCGTGTATAGAATTAACAAACAGAGTAAGCTCAACTAAATTTGAAACAAATTTGTAGTGAGGAATAACTCGCCGAGGGTAATATAAACAGAATATAAACAAATGAAAAACGAGCAATATAAACAGAATCGTGGCAGGATGCTATATTGGTGCGCAAACACGGCTGGGCCCGTGCGGACAAAGGAATTGATCGCCCGAGGGAGTAAAGAATTGTGAAAGTAGTCTGATTAATAAAACCAACCCCAGAATAAATTTTCCTCATCTTCTTGGAAAGTCGGAACAATAAAAGAAAAGAAGCTGAATGGAAACTGTACAAAAATTGTTTTTCCATAAAAAACTAGGGGTATTTAGTGTGACAACAAAGCTCA